AGAAGTTTTTTTTCTAGATTGAATATGATGAACTGTTGCTCGAAAGTTTGGAGCAAAAGTTTTAATTTCAGAAGAAACGACGAGAGAAAGTGCAATGAACGACAGGCGCAAAGCTTGTAACTACAATGTTGTAATATTTCTCATTATTTCATGCAAGTTTTCTGCTCTGTTTCGTGTATTTGTGAAACTAAAATATTAAAAATTAGCTTAGTATGTAAAATGATCGAAAATACCACTCTTACATAAGAGTCTAAATTCTATTTGAAATTATTACAAAATATTGTCACTGAATACTGAACCGTACTCAATGAGTACAATTAAAAGGCTCGTGATAAATAAACCTAAGATAGCGTGTCATCAAAGCGAATGAAAGCCATTTCCCTCGTTAAAGGGAGGAATATCCAGCACGTTTGAAACGCGTAAAGAATACGACAATACACAAGTCTTTTCATCTCCGACTACGTTCACACTCGCGCACGTCGAAAGAAAAGCAAGCACGCTAGCAAATGTAAAAACAATTCAATAAATCAACGACATTCTGCACCTACCGGAGAATACTAATTCCCCAGGCCAGCCGGCACAAAGGCACAGCCAACCACGAGCGATCAGAGACAACGAGAGAGGTCTAACGATCTATCAGGGCCGCGAGCGTTGAAACAAAAAGGCGGCCACGACAATGGTACAGGCTTTTCGTGGGAGCACGATAACAAAGCTCTGGCGTTCTGTTAAAAAAAGAAAAGAGAATAAGAACGTAATCCCACTGGCCCTTCGTCTCCCTTCCCCTTTTCTTTCTCTCAAGTAACCTGCAGTGAAATTTGTTTCGACGCAGGAGTAGCTATAAGAGGCCTGTCACTGCAGACAGAGTAATTAAATATATCGTTTAACCTTTGATTGTTCAACTTTTGATTGAACTTTCTAAATCTTCGAACAGACCCTGCCGGCCCAAAATTTCTATTGGATGTTGTATTTATAAAAATTCGAAATAAAAATTTGTTTCATCTATCGAACATTACAGACGACACTTTTCTAATATTTTACACATTTTCGTAGAGAACTTTCACGAACATTCGAATTGAGATCAGAGAATTATTCAGACAGCTAATATGCATTATTAAAATATTACTGCATTCAACAACTAGACAAGTGAATAGTGCCTCTGAACAACTTTCGTATCGCGATGACGCGAGAACTCGAAAACCTCTGTTTCGCTGTGGAACGCACACCGTGCGAGGCAAATTTCTATGGTCGCCGCCTGCCTTTGTCCCTTCCTCAAGCAACGACCGACGATCCGATGAGATAGCGCCGCGGCCGAAGGAAGCGTCCCGGAAGAGGACACGAAAAATGGAGGGAAAGAGGCAGCACGTGTGGCTGCGTGCACGGAGTTTGTGAAACCTCGACTATCTTCACTACCGCGAGTTCCTTGACTCGCAATCGAACCACGGTAATTCCCTTTTTCCTACGCTGCCGCGTCTCTTTCTTCTTCCTTCCTTCTCTGCTTTGTTCTTTCCTCGTTTATCCCTTTTCCCCTGTCCCCTTTCTTCTTTTCTCTCAACCCTCCCCCCCCACCCCTTTAGCAGTTCTACCACGAGAAAGAGAGGCTTACTCGTTCGCGTGGAGTTGCCCGCGATTCACGCGGAGAGAACGGTAATCGCGCACAGCTGCACACCGTCTTTCGGATGAAAAAGGCTCGTTCACAAGGGCTACGATGCGCGACGACAATGGACGACGACCACCGCTGGCCGACGATCTCTCTGGTCGCGGAGAGAATCGAACGTACGAGGAAAGGAATCACGACGATCGAGAATCACCTGATCGCGATCGAGAGATACTCGAGGATGGCTGGGGGCCACGGTGCGGGATCTAGGAGCACTCTGGGTGCTGGCCATTGTTTCCCTGACGTGCGCGAGCACACCGAGGTCTCGAAAAGTGGGTATCCGGGTAATGACCGATTCAGCGACTAATGGGCTGAATAGACCAGCGTTTCCGTTACTTTGGATTCTATGCATGAAAATTGCCATGGGAATATTCTTTCTTTAGAGCGACTTCTTTCGAGCGTATTACTCGAGTGCTGCTGCCTCGAGCGCACTGCTTGAATCTCACTTTTAGCAGAGTGCTCCGCTTCTCTTTTAATTTCACGTTTAAAGAGATCGGTAGCTATCTCCAGAAACTCAAGCTTGATTTTAACATTAAACGCGATGAGATCTTACGAGATGTTACTTCGGTGTTTCAATTTTGGCGACCAAACATTTTCGATCGTTCAAACATTTCATAATGGAAGTAAATGTTCGTCTTCTTTTAGACCGGCACATGTCTACAGTCGTCAAATCAGTCCCTTTGAAATTAACTTCCCGAGGTTTGAAAACTCACCTATAACGGTGTTGGCAGCGACCTCCTTCGCGGCGGCGGCAGCGGCCGCGGGCCCATGAGCGAGGAAATCGCTGAGAGACAACGACGAGGCGATGATCTGCCGTTTCTCCTCGAAATTTAAATAATCCAGGCTGTTGCTCCTCTGTGGCCCGGCGACGATCGTCACGGTCTTGGCCGCGTGATGATGATGATGATGATGATGGTGATGATGCTGTTGTTGCTGCTGCTGTTGCAGACTGTTGTCCACGATGGAGAGGTTGTTGCTTGGTTTCTCGTTGCCGGGCTCGTTGTTGGCCGCCGGGCTGGGCACCAGGTAGACGCCGCTGACGCGTATCGACATCGTTTTGAAACGGCCGCGCTTCGTCCGCCTCCAGGGGCTGCGAATCGCGACCAGGCCCGGCAACGGAGCTACCGGCTGCTGGCCAGCTGAAACATCCTGACGACTGCTCGGTCGAGAGGTCGGCTCGCGTCGCTTGTTACTTCGCGGCAGCTCCACGGCGGCTCGGCGTTTAGCGCGTTTAGCGAGATCGCCGAGGAAAATTTACGAGCTCCGCTGCTGTGCGCTGCTTCTGGCAGCGACCACCGCCTACGTAACCGCGCTCCGACGATCGGTTTCACTTTATTTTCGTCGTATTTAAATCCCCGTCGCTCTTCGTTGATCTCAAAGCCGGAATCGACGAAACGCCTCTTCTTGGCTTTCGTCTGATTGTCTCGGACTCGCTCCTCTTCGCCGGCGAATCGACTTCGATTGTCACTTGCACGGTTGATTGCAATCCTTTTCTTGCAACTTCTTCTTATTGGTAGTATTATTACTAGTTGCTCTAGATATATAATTCGTTACAGCTAGATATAGAAAAAGGTACAACAGGTATTCCAAGATGGCAGGATTTCCGTATCACGTTTGAAGATTCCAATGGAGCCGGACTCTCGATGACTGGAAGGTATTTCTCCCCCTGGTGTTTGTCTGCTTTTTCCACGATTATGGCACTCCGACTATGAAAAATGGCCGACCCGAGCCGGCTGACTCCGTACCGTTGAAGAGGGGGAGGAGGGGGAGAGGCTTCCACGGTCTTTATTTATAACGGAAGGAAGCGAACGCGAGCCTTCCGCGCTCTTTTTTTTTTCTTTTCTTTTCTCTCTGTCTCTCTGTCTCTCTCTATCTCTCTCTCACTTTCTCTCGTGGCCGCCACGAGGCACACTCTGTGCACGGTCAACGCTCCACGGAATCGTCCTGCGCAATAGGAACAGGGTAAAACGTTAAACTCTCCCGGTAATGGCACCGGCTGTCATGAATGGCGTGTATTGTATCGTTCGGGAGAGGTCGCGAACGACCGTATGTCCACGAAATGTCGCATCGCGGTCTGTCGACCTTCCGCCCCGCTTCGATTATCGACCGACTCGATCCGAGTGTCAAACGAGCGCGCAACCCTATTTACGATATTCCGGTCATGGTTCCCGAGACACTCGCTCAACCCGCTCTCGATACGACGTCGCTCCCGTTTTAATTTACAAATACGCGACGCGAATACGAAAGCTTGACTTTGCACGATGAGAAATTACCCTTTTTGTTGCGTGAAAATCAAACGTAACGGGTAACGTTCTCCCCATTGCGGAGGGCATTCCTAACCTAACCTATACTCGGTTTGAAAACACGAACGAGAGACAGTACTGGCAATATGACCACAGGAAAAATGTCTCGCGACTACGATACGTGAACAAAAGGACGAAAGAACGTTCGCATACGAACGAAGTTATAATCGTAAGAAACGAGGCTGATGCCGCGATGTTTACCAGCTGACGAGCGAGTAACCTCAAAAACAATAACGAGGCACGGTACGGGTTACAACGCACGCAAAAAACATTCGGTTTTATCGGTGTAATGTCACGGGGCGCGCGCGGAGTGATGGTGGTCAGGAGAGGAGCCGGTGTGTTACGAGACACTCGCGTTTCGTGAGCGCACA